CTCCGTGCCAAGAAACACCCTGCTCGCCTCCAGGGTGGCTTGGGTTTCTTGGGCTTCGATGGTTTTGCGGTGGAAGGCGTGACGTCCCCACACCAGATTGCCAGTGGACGTCCTGGGGTCTCGGGGTGGGGTTTCTTGTGGAGGGTCTCTTGGCACGGGGGGAGGAGGAGGAGGAGGAGGAGGAGGAGGCGGAGGCGGCGGCGGAGGCGGAGGTGGAGGCGGAGGCGGAGGCGGAGGAGGCGGAGGAGGAGGCGGAGGAGGAGGTGGAGGATGATAATGAGGAGGAGGCGGAGGAGGCGGAAGCGGCGGAGGATGAGGCGGAGGAGGAGGAGGAGGATCATGCTGGATTGTGCTGGCCAAACTCCCGAGGTCGCGACGCACGCGCAACGGTAGCGATGAAGGCTTCCCCCGCGTGCAGTCCAGCTACGTCTTCCCCATGCCGTTTCTCTCACGCCGCGGCGAGGGCCCAGCCGTGACCACGAGGAGCGCCGGGGAGGGGATGGGCACCCCCGGGTGCGTGGCCCATCTTTCGTGCCTCGTCCCTCCCTGCTTCCGACGAAGAGCCCGCCTCCCACGTGAGGCAGCTGGTTTTGGTCAAGCGGGCCATGCGCACAGTTTACAAGTGCATGCGTCGTGCCGAGGACGAGGCGCGCGCAGACGGCACTGACGATCAATTGGGTTGGGTGCTCAGCTTCGTCAGGGCCGCAGAGAGCATCAACAGCATAGCCCTCCGCGGCGGCCTGCTGAGTGCTCTGGCGCACGCCGCCGCCTGCTGCCTTCCGTGGAAAGCTTGCCATTTCGCACGAGCTGACTTCAGAGCTGTAGCTGATGGCGTTTGCTTTGCACGTGCACTTGCGTCTGCACGCAGTGCCAGCTTCGCTGCCACTGCTTGTTCTTCTCGCGTTGTCAGCTCCCGCTGCCACTGCCTGCCCCGCTCGCACAAGGTGACCCCAGCAGCAGTGCAACTGACGAGGTGCTCTTGCTGCGCCGGCGGGCACAGACAGCCACAGCTGTCGCTTCCTGCCTCTTCGCACCGACAGCCACTACTGCCACTGTCTGCTTTCCTGCACTGCCAGTCCCTGCTGCCACGGATGTCTCTCACAAGCTGACCCCAGCAGCTTGCAGCTGATGAAGCGTTCTTGCCTCGCCATTTGGCACGGGCAACTGTTGCTGCCACTGCCCGCCTTCTCGCGCCGACCGCCCTTGCAGCCACTGCCTGCCTTCTGGCATGGGCGGACCTTCGCTGCAAATAGCTGACGACTTGCTCCTGCTGACCGCTGGCACCCACAGCCGCTGCTGCCAATGCCCGCTTTCTCGCATCGACAGGCCGTGCTGCCACAGCTTGCCGTCTCGCACGAGCTGACCCCCGCTGCTTCCGTGTAGCTGAAGATGTGTGTGGCTCCCGCTGGCCACTCGGCACCGACAACCGCTACTGCCCCTGCCTACCTTCTCGCACCGACCGCCCTTGCAGCCACTGTCTGCCTTCTTGCACGAGCTGACCCCCGCTGCAATGCAGCTGAAGAAGTTGCTCTTGCTGGCCGTTCGGCACCGAGAACCTCTGCTGCCCCTGCCTACCTTCTCGCACCGACAGACCATGCTGCCACTGCCTGCCTTCTCGCACGAGCTGACCCCCGCTGCAGCCAATGTAGCTGAAGATGCTGCTCCTGCGTTGCTAGTTGTTCGCATTCTCGCGTGGACAGTCCCTGCTGCCACTGCCTGCTTTCTCGCACTGCTCCTCGGTATGGCGTCTCCCACACGAACTGGCCCCGGCACTGTAGCTGATCACGTTGGCTCGCACGTTCTCGCCGCACGGACCGCTCCCAGCACTGTAGCCGATGACGCTGCTTATCATGGCTGTCCCCTGCTCGCCTGCCTTCGCATACGCGACTCCAGACATTGAAGTTGTTGCTGTGATGATCTGACTTTCAGATGCTTGCCTGCAGTTTGGCAGCGGCGCCGCAACTGCCGCCACTGCTCGCCAAGAGGTGGAGGAGGGACGAGAGGAGGAGTGGGAGGGAAACGAGGAGAGGACAGAATGTGCCGCGTCTCTGGGCTGGTGCGCACGCGCCTGATCTCAGCGTTGTAGCTGGTAGCGTAGGGCGCCACGCTTCTTGATGGCGACTCTCGCGGCCGGGGCCCTTTCGAAGTTGGCCCGCGAAACACCACTGCGCGCCCCGTGCACGGAGGGGGGCGCTCGGGCGTTTGAGCCAAAATGGCTACGGAGGAGGAGGAGGAGGACGGAGGAGGCGGAGGAGGAAGAGGAGGAGGAGAAGGAAGACGAATGATAAGAGTAATAGTACTACTAATACGAATGCGAATAATAATAAGCACGCTACGGCAAATGATAATAGGAAGAAAACGAATTTTAATCACAGTACTCATGGTATTATGATATCATGAGGCATGCTGAGAGGAAACAGATGTGTACTAATACTAGCATGAATAAGGCAAAGAAAAAGAGGAGGAGGAAGAGGAGGAGGAGAAGGAAGAGGAGGAGGAGGAGAAGGAAGAGGAGGAGGAGGAGGAGGAGGAGGAGCCGCTCTTCTCCTGTGGCTCCACGCTCGGACGGGCCTTGACTGCACCTCCCTGGGGCCTAGGGCCTTCGACGTCGGGGCTCGTTTTCTTGCGCCGTGCTGTCGGGGCCATCTCTCGGCTGCAGCTGCTCAGGAGGGGAGGAGGACACACAGGCACAATTCATCGTCGCCTCCCAGGAAGATGTGGGAAAATAGGGGAAGGGGGGGGGAGACGAAAACCCACAACATACAGGAAGACTCTGGGGAATCCTGGGATCTGCGTGTATTCATTTGTGTGTGTCCCAGGGCCCCTTCCATCGCGGGAAACGCGAGCAACCGCCGCGGACAATACTGCGATTATGACGAGCAGGGCTGTGTGGGGAGAGAAGCCCTCGCGAGAGCCCACATTGGCTCTGGGCGGGCACCGCGGGCCGGGGCGACGAGAGGGGCCGGCGGGGGGGGCTGGAAGCCACAGGAGGCCACGGGACTTACAACCCCCTGCGAAAAGTAACCGGTGCTTTCTACACGCTCGCACACCCACCCAATTTCAATGTTCAATGCGGTGCCGATTCATTTTTTGAATGTCGCCGGTCGCACGATCCACATTGGAATGGGGGGGGCCGGGGGGTTTCACCAAGCACCAGTTGCTTTTCGCAAGGGGTTGCAGTAAGTAGCCGCCAGAGAGGAACGCGACGAGCACGTGCAGCTCCTCTGAACAGTGCAGCAGGAAGGCCTCAGTCCACCTAGGTCCCCCGCGGGTGCGCGAAGGTAGCCGCGCTTCGCGCATCGCGGCCTGGGCCGCAGAGGTGCCCTGATCCAGGCCGGCGGCGCAAGGGCGCGAACGTGATTGCGAGTCGCGCCTCGCAGGGCGCGAGGCGCCAAGTTGGGCGGCCAAGGTCCACGCACTTCTTGAGTGAACAAGGGAGCCACCATCGGTGCAAGCAGTGTCTGCACCAGATCAACGTTCGTATGCCTGCGGCCATTCTGACTGAATGCGCTGGACAGCTTGGCCGCGTCCCCGCCCCCAGTGCGCCTCGCGCGCAGGGGCAGGAGTTGCTGGGCGGGAGCCCCCAGTCGGCGGGGAAGCCGCATGCCCGTTCGAGAGCGTCTGTTTCTGTGGTTGCGCCCCAGAGTGACCCAAGATTGCCCGAGATGGCTTCAACACGGTCCAAGAGGCCCCCCAAGACGCCCCAGGAGGATATCATGAGACCCCCCGAAAGGGCCCAAGAGGCAACCCTTATTGATGTTCGTTTGTTTTTTCAGCGTTCTCGCTTTGTCGGGTTCCTGGCGCTCCACGACGGCGCCCCCACGACCGCCCGAAGACGGTCCGAGAGACCTCCAAACAAGGGCCCCAGGACGGCCCAAGAGGCGCCACATCTTCCTCACCCTTTTTTTGCATTCACGGCGTGCTCCCACCACTTCACTTCACGTCCTCCCCCCTCGTCTTCGGAATCATCGGCGTCCTTCGTCTTCTGTACTGGCATCTCCTCCCTCTTCGCTCGTCGCGGTGTGTTGCATGTATTTTTATGACCGTTCTCATCTCACCACACCTCTTCCCGCCTCCCTCCTCTTCTCCTCATTTTGCCTCTGGGAAAAGTTAATAGTGGCGGGGAAGGGGTGCACCTGATGAGACGTATCCACACATATTCGGCCCGCAGAAGGTGCTTATTGTGAGAACCATCATCACAATGACAACGTCGATGACGGCGACGATGATGATTACGATTTGAATGATGGCGGTGGTGGTGGTGATTGTGCTGGTCTTGGTGATGGTACGAGGACGATGATGCTGCTGATGATGATTACGGCTGTGATGATTGGCATCAGGTTGTTGTCGCTGATGATGACGAGGGGACTCAACAGCATGATGAGGAACAAGAGCGGACACTAAGGCGTAGAGGAAAAAGGGGGAAATGGGGTAGGAATAGAAAAGGCGGGGCTGGGGGAGAGAGAGTGAGGAAGAGGAAGAGCATGAAAGAGGAGCACGGGGATTAAAGAGGGGGAGCAAGAGGAGGAAGGGGGAGGAGGAGGGGGAGGAAGAATGAGTTGGAGGGGGTGGAGAAGGGGCAGAGGGAGCTGGGGGAGGGGGGCTTCCCCGAGACGTCGTTCGGCTCCCAGGCTTCCGGCGTCTTGAACAAAGTCAGGGCTGGCGTTGGCCTTTTTTTGCCTCCACTGGCGGGCCCTGGGCCCACAGGAAACGACCGGGCACGACGACCAGCCCCCGGCGAGGAGTCGGAAGCTCTGGATCGGGAGCCTCGAGACAGGGGTCCATGCAAGCGGGTGTCAGCCAGAGCGTTGGATCTCGCAGGATCCGGCAGAGTCAGGGCTGCACTGACCCGGGCTTGGGTGCAGGATCCTGCGGGATCCTGCAGGATCCTGACTGACCCGGGTCTGCATTGACCCGGGTCGGCAGATCCTCGAGCAGAGACCACGCGTGGGACAGATCAGGTCATCGGCTGTGGTCTGGGCCCCCGCCGCCCGCACGAGGCCTCAACATCGTGTTCGCTCTGTTGGGCGCCCCGCTCTCGAGGCAGCTGACCCTGGCCAGCACGGAGGCCGCCCCGCGGGATCACGGCTGCGCCCCGAGGATCCGCCCTGAGCCCCTGCGCTCCGCATCCCCCTGGCGGCATCTGCTGCCTCCGCCGCGCCGCCCCTCGTCAAGGGCGTAATAGTCGGGGGCGGACAGAACCCCCAACAGTGACACGTCGATCAGTGAATTGTCCGTTTTCGGTTCTCGAGAGGGCGCCGTGGCCGTTCTTTTCCAGGCTTGCGCCCGCCAGGTTTGGGCCTCAGGTCGTTTTCACAAAACCACGTTTTACTACAGGGGGGTCTGTCCATCCCCGAAAAATGGGCCCCTGCCCTGGTTTGCAAGGCGCTGTGCGCTGCACCTCCTGTGGGCTGACAGGGGGATCCCTGCGCGTCGCGCGTGTCGCGCGGCGGCCGGGCGCGGCTCTCTGGCCCCCTTGGGAGCTCCCAGGTGGTTCACGGACCACGCGCTCGGCAACCCAGGGTGGGCGCGTTTTTCCATCGCCCCACCTCGTGCACCGCATCTGCCCGCCTCCCGAGCGGCGCTCGCGTCCTCCTCCTGGCTTCTTCTTGCCCCTCTGTCCTCCGCCCCCCTCGCTTCAGGAGGGAACAAAAACACACCGACACAATCCATCGTCGGTCCCCAAGAAGCTACAGGAACATATGCGACGTGGGGGGGAAGACAAAAAAAACCCAGAACATGTGGGAAAATGTGGTGCATATGTTTTTAGATTTTTATTTGGTGTGTACTTGTTTGTGTGTCCTGGGGCCCCTTCACCCTTGCCCCCGCGGCTTCCCGCCAGCACCGCCCCTCTGGCCCCCTGCCTCCCGCGAGGCCGCGCCGGCGCCGGTGCCCGCGTGGCTGCCGCGCCTGGCGAGGGCCGCGCTGGGCGCCGGGGAGCCCCGCGCCGCCCCCGCCCGCCGCCCCAGACGCGCCTGGCGTCGTGGCAGAGCTCGGCATCGCTCGGACGACGACGACGACGACGACGACGACGACGACGAGGAGGAGGAGGACGACGAGGAGGAGGAGGAGGAGGAGGAGGACGAGGAGGAGGAGGAGGAGGAGGAGGAGGGGGAGGGCCCCCTCCCCCTCCAACTCCTGGTGGTGGTGGTGGAGCGGTGGAGAAGACAGGCCCATCCATGCATCGCCAACCCCTCATCGCTTGCCTTGGCATCGCTCGGGACGTGTGCATGTTTCTTTCGGCGAGGACCATCGAGGAGCATCCTTGATCATTTGGCGAAAAAACCACGCACGAAACCGCAAACAGTAACACACACGGAATGGACGTCCGAGCGACGGCGAGAGAGTCGCGTGGCCTTAAGTTGGGCCTGTCCCCCTAGAGGGGGATTTTCGACGGGAAAAAGAAATACACCAAAAAGGCTCCAAAACTGCTCCAAACATAGTCTGGGGACTATTTTTGAGTATCTGTTTTACCTTTTTGGGGTATTTTGGGGGTTATTTTTTCCCAACCATCCTGTGGTGGTGGGTCCTCGTTTTGAAGAGACGGTGGCCCGCGTCTCCTCTCCTCCTCTCCTCCTCCGCCTCCTCTCCCCTCCTATCATCCTCATCGTCATCATCATCATCATCGTCATCATCATCATTATCGTCATCATTATCATCATCATTCCTCTCCTCTCCTCTCCTCTCCTCTTCTCTCCTCTCCTCTCCTCCACTCCTCTCCTCCTCTCCTCTTCACCCACCCAGTACACCGTTTCGTGGCCCCATAGGGAGCTCCACCGAAGGCCCCAGTGCCCGCGCCCGCATGCGTCACCCACACCCATTTCGGCACACCCCTCACACGTTTCGTGGCTCCATAGGGAGCTCCACCGAAGGCCCCAGTGCCCGCGCCCGCATGCGTCACCCACACCCATTTCGGCACACCCCTCACACGTTTCGTGGCTCCATAGGGAGCTCCACCGAAGGCCCCAGTGCCCGCGCCCGCATGCGTCACCCACACCCATTTCGGCACACCCCTCACACGTTTCGTGGCTCCATAGGGAGCTCCACCGAAGGCCCCAGTGCCCGCGCCCGCATGCGTCACCCACACCCATTTCGGCACACCCCTCACACGTTTCGTGGCTCCATAGGGAGCTCCACCGAAGGCCCCAGTGCCCGCGCCCGCATGCGTCACCCACACCCATTTCGGCACACCCCTCACACGTTTCGTGGCTCCATAGGGAGCTCCACCGAAGGCCCCAGTGCCCGCGCCCGCATGCGTCACCCACACCCATTTCGGCACACCCCTCACACGTTTCGTGGCTCCATAGGGAGCTCCACCGAAGGCCCCAGTGCCCGCGCCCGCATGCGTCACCCACACCCATTTCGGCACACCCCTCACACGTTTCGTGGCTCCATAGGGAGCTCCACCGAAGGCCCCAGTGCCCGCGGCCGCATGCGTCACCCACACCCATTTCGGCACACCCCTCACACGTTTCGTGGCTCCATAGGGAGCTCCACCGAAGGCCCCAGTGCCCGCGCCGCATGCGTCACCCACACCCATTTCGGCACACCCCTCACACGCTTCGTGGCTCCATAGGGAGCTCCACCGAAGGCCCCAGTGCCCGCGCCCGCATGCGTCCCCCACACCCATTTCGGCACACCCCTCACACGTTTCGTGGCTCCATAGGGAGCTCCACCGAAGGCCCCAGTGCCCGCGCCCGCATGCGTCACCCACACCCATTTCGGCACACCCCTCACACGTTTCGTGGCTCCATAGGGAGCTCCACCGAAGGCCCCAGTGCCCGCGCCCGCATGCGTCACCCACACCCATTTCGGCACACCCCTCACACGTTTCGTGGCTCCATAGGGAGCTCCACCGAAGGCCCCAGTGCCCGCGCCCGCATGCGTCACCCACACCCATTTCGGCACACCCCTCACACGTTTCGTGGCTCCATAGGGAGCTCCACCGAAGGCCCCAGTGCCCGCGCCCGCATGCGTCACCCACACCCATTTCGGCACACCCCTCACACGTTTCGTGGCTCCATAGGGAGCTCCACCGAAGGCCCCAGTGCCCGCGCCCGCATGCGTCACCCACACCCATTTCGGCACACCCCTCACACGTTTCGTGGCTCCATAGGGAGCTCCACCGAAGGCCCCAGTGCCCGCGCCCGCATGCGTCACCACACCCATTTCGGCACACCCCTCACACGTTTCGTGGCTAGGGATAGGGAGCTCCACCGAAGGCCCCAGTATGCGTCAGCACACCCATTTCGGCACACCCCTCACACGTTTCGTGGCCCCATAGGGAGCTCCACCGAAGGCCCCAGTGCATGCGTCCCGCACACCCATTTCGGCACACCCCTCACACGTTTCTGGCCCCATAGAGCGGCACACCCCTCACACGTTTCTCCCCACTCCACCGAAGGCCCCAGTGGGTGTGCCCGCATGCGTCCCGCACACCCATTTCGGCACACCCCTCGTACGTTTCGTGGCCCCGTAGGGGGCTCCACAGAGAAGATATTCACAATTGCAGTATTCACAATTGCATATGGTTGGGTCCTTCGCCAGGATAATTCGTTTTTCTGCGAAAATCCCTCTGTAGGGGGACACGCCCGACTTCAACGTGGCCGTTTTCGGCCTCGGGGGCCCTCGCTGGGCTCGGGGGCAGTCACTTGGCATCGCCCGGGCGTGTGGATGTGTTTCTCGGCGAGGGCCATCGAGGAGCCTTGCTTCAGCTTGCGAAGAATCAGCGCGAGAAGCCGACGAGTGCACGGGGGATGGGCGTCCGAGCGCCGGCAAGGTCAAAGAACGGCTCGGGGTGAAAACCGGCCCGAGGGAAGGGTTCGGGACTTCGAGGGCCCGTACTCGGGCAAAATCAGGACATCGCATGGTTGGATCCCCGCCGCGTCTCAGGGGCATCGTTAGGGGGAGATGAGCTCAGGGTACCGCCCTCCTAGAGGCCGCTCCGTAGGGGCTGGAGTGAGGGCCGCATCGCATCGCATAGGCTCAGGGTCGGATGCATCGACTCCCGATCGCCCGCTGATCGCCGATGCGGACCCGACCGATAGCGCCCGTCCCACCCTGGACCGAGCGCTATCTGGGGCACATCGCCGATCTTTCGGCGATGATCGCCGATCCCAGCCCGATTCGCCCCCCCCACGCCCCCCCAGTTGAGCAGTATCGTCTAACCAATTCCCATACCCATTGGGCCATCATATCATCGATTCCCATTCCCATGGGCCCCACGAAACTCGAAGGGAGCAGTACCTGCATTTCCATTTAACGGGGTAAGTCGGACAGTTAGGCCAAGGCCAGGCCAGTAGAGACAGTCTAGGCTTCCTGGATGGAGTCAGAGTAGATGGGATCGGGGGATCACGCCGCATCGCCGATGCATCGCCGATGCGGCTCGATGTGGAGCCCGACTTGCTTCACGTCGACGTCGCCGGTGCATCGCCGACGTCGACGCTGCTTCGCCGGTGCATCGCTGGTGCGTCGCCGATGCATCGCCGATGCATCGCCGTAGCATCGCCGATGCGGCGCGACCCTCCGACCCCACCTGCCCCGACCCCGTCCAGGAGGCCCCTGAGCAACCAAGGCGGAGGCTCCTCGCCGTCTTCGGCCTCCGGGTTAAGTCGGGCGTGTCGCTCTACAGGGGGAATCTTCAAAAATAGTTTTAAAATAGTCTGGGGACGATTTTTTTTTTTTTTTTTTTTACTATTTTGGGGTATTTGGAGGGTATTTTTTGAGTATTTTTTATTTTTCGTCCAAAATCCCCATGTAGGGTAGGGGGGACACGCCCGACTCAACGCTACGGCCCTGGGGCCGTCCACGAGACCGCTCGGCAGGAGGGGCCGGATCCCCCGGGGACGGGCCGGGGGGTCCCGGGGGTCCCGGCTCGAGGAGAGCAGGGCGTTCGGGGGCGGAAAAGAGGGGGGTGATGAATATGGCGGGGGTCATGATATTTCCCCAGATTTCACGGCGCCTCTTTTTATTTGATTACGTCCCTGGCCCCCCCGCTGCGCCGCGCACATGCCGCCGGTCTTGATTTGCACCCCCACTGACTCTGGATCCGCCCTACTTTTGGCTTTTTTTCCAACTTAAAATTGCGTCGGAAATCCACCTAGAAGAGGCCGAAAAAGTAGGGCGGAAATTGCTGCACCCAACATAAAATAGGGCGGAAATCCACAGAAACAGCAACAGAAAAGTGGGGCGGAAATTGGCATCAGCGGGGCTTGAAAAGTAGGGCGGAAATTCCAAGCCCTACTAACGAATTTCCCCAAAGTAGGGCGGATCCGGAGTCAGGGCCCCCTCTTGGACACCCCCCTCTTGGCCGCTCCCGAGGCGTCGGAGCTCCGGAGGGCCCGGCCTGGCCCAGGCCGGTGCCGTGCGGCGGGTTCGCGCCGTGTCGGCTCGCCGCGACCCCGCCGCGGGCGTTCGAGATGGAACGCCGCCAGTGGCCCGGAACCGGCCCAATATTGGGAGGAGGGAAAGAAACACACAGACACAATTAATCGGCGATTTCCAGAAAATATGGGAAAATATGGGAAGTGGGGGGGAAGACAAAAACCCAGAAAATATGGGAAAATATGTGGGATAATTTTATTTGTGTGTATTTATTTGTGTGTCCCAGTTCCCCTTCATATTGGAAGGCGGATAGACCTCCTACCCTGACACGTCGCTCAGCGAATGGGCCGTTTTCGGTTCGCGAGAGGGCGTCGCGGCCGTCCTTTTTGCGGGTCCAGGTCCGTCGGTTTCGGTCCTCGGCCGTTTTCTCTAAAAAGGGAGGTTTGCGAAAGGGAGGCTTGCCCACCGCCGAAACATGGAACGATCTGGCAAGCGAGAAGCCGCCGATCGTTCCAGGTGGAACGATCCACGCGATCGTCACGACACGGACCCGCCGTAGTGCACTGTGCCGTCCTGTGCCGGCAGAGGGGTGCGCCGGGCGGAGGGGCGCGCTC